CCATCGGAAAAACACGTGGAACCCGTACCAACCCCAACCCGAAATTCGGGTCAAATTCGGGTCTTCGGGTTGGGTTGGGGTGGTTTGGTAGGTGGTCAGACCGGCCCCTCCGTTCGGCTGTGGACTTAACAGATCACGCGGCTCGCAGCAGCGAGCACTGTTCTGCGTTGCGGCCTTCTCACAAATACGCGTGCGCAGCCCCTGCCGCGCGATAGTTGAGAAGCAGGACCTCCTGGCTGCGTGCGCCCCTACCTGCAGGCCAGCACCTGGGGACAGCTGCAGCGGCAGTGGACCCAGCAGGTGGCCACGATGACTGTCGGGCGGCGGATGGGGGAGGTTCGGCTGGGTGGGATGACGCTGCACGGCTCTCGCTCGCTAGTGCTCTGGCCGCGCTTCTCGCTCTTCTCTTGCAGCACGTGCGGCCGCATGGCCACGGTCGACCCCCTGTACTTGGTCGCCGCCCGTGCCCCTGCTAGCGGAGATGGCAGCGCGAATCTCGCCCGCACCGCCGGACGCCTGCGTCCAGGATGCGGGGTCTCATCGGCGGCTGTGTTTCGGCGGCGACGATAAGGGCGAATAGCCCAGGGGCGGGCATTACACGTATTCGCCCGGGGGCCTTGTCGAAGACATAAAAAATCATCGGCGCCCCTGGATACATGTATTGCTCTCCCCTGGGCTATTCGCCCCTATCGTCGCCTCCGAGTGTTGGACGCGCAGTCTTCCAGGGTCCGCCATCTCCACGCCTTTTCCCATTCTGTCCCAGGCGCTCTGTGGCCTGAAGAGGTTCCCTCGCAGCTCAGTGCTCCTTCCAACGCGGGGGGGTCCACCGCGGGGCCTGTGCTGTCCAGAGCTGCCGTTGCCCTGCGCCTCGAAGGGGATGGGCAGCCTGACTTGCCTCCGCACCGGAGCCCAGGCAGACGCCTGGCGACTCCGTGCAAACACTGCGCGAGGGGCTGCTCAGGCCTCCTCCTCCTCCTCCTCCTCCTCCTCCTCGTTCCTCCTCCTCCTCCTCCTCCTCCTCCTCCTCCTCCTCCTCCTCGTTCCTCCTCCTCGTTCCTCCTCCTCGTTCCTCCTCCTCCTCCTCCTCCTCCTCCTCCTCCTCCTCCTCCTCGTTCCTCCTCCTCCGCATGAAGCTCCGCCTGGCCGAGCAGGTCCCCGCAGCAGGGCCCTCGTGCGTCCTGCCTGCCGGCGCTCATCCGTCACCGGGGTCCTGTCAAGAATCGGATGTGGACAGAAAGCCCACCGTGACACCTTCTCCTCCTCCTCCTCCTCCTCCTCCTCCTCCTCCGACTAGTGAATTGTCCGTCTTCGGTTCTCGAGAGGGCGCCGCGGCCGTCAGTTTCCAGGCCTGCGCCCGCCAGGTTGGGGCCCGAGGTCGTTCTCACGAAATCACGTCTTCCTAAAGGGGCACGAAATCACGTTTTACCGAAGGGGGGTCCTGCCATCCCTAACACAAACCCTCCACTCTCCTCTCCACATCCTCCTCCACACATCCTCCTCCTCTCTCCTCCTCCTCCTCCTCCTCCTCCTCCCACCTCCTCCAGATCCTCCTCCACCTCCTCTTCCTCTCCTCCTCCTTCTCCTCCCCCTCCTCCTCCCCCCTCCTCCTCCCATTCCTCCCCCCTTCCCTGGCTTCAGGCGGAGGGCGCCTCGGTGAGCGCCACGATGGCGTCCGCGGACGCGCACCCGGGGCCCGCCGCGGCGGCAGGGCGCTCGCGAGGCCGCCACGCCGGCGCCGCCGGCC